CCCGTACTCGCGCGGCGGGCGGCCGCCGAGGACGGCCGCCGCGAGCATGCGCGCGGCGGCCGCCATGGTCTCCCGCGCCTCCCCTTCCTGCGCCCCCGCCAGCGTCTCCGCCACCGCCGACACGACCTCCGACCGCCACACTGCCAGGCACTCGCCGCCGCCGTCAACCAAGCCGCCGCCAGGCTCGCCGCCGGCTGTGCCGCCGCCGCTGCTGCCGCTGTGACCGCCGCCGGCCGCGTCGTGGCGCCACAGCTGCGGGAGGCTGGCGAGGGCGGCCGCCCTGGCCCACAGGCGAACGTCTTCGGGGCAGGCGTGCTCAAGGTCAAGGGGCCTGCCAGGTTTGAGCGGTCCAAGGGAGCTAAGCTCAGGACCCGGGACGCAACAACGGAAACAGGGCCCCAGGTGCGAACGGCCGCCGGCCGCTCGGCTGGAGGAGAGGGCCGGGGTCAACCACGGGGGTTGCGGTGTGTGGCGAGCATGCAAACCGTGCATGGTGGCTGGCTCCAGGGCAGCAGCCGGCCACCTGCCCAAGGCCGAGCAGGCAAGCTCATGGCGTACCGTCTCATCTGCGCACGATATCACATCCACAAGCAGACAGCATCACAGTGAGCCTATACATCAGACCACGAGGCGGTGCAAAGTACATGCTAGGACCCCAGAGGCCATGCCCACCGCTTGAGGGTGCCATGCAGCACCCGCAGCACCAGCGCCCTCGCCCGCGCGCCGCGCGGGCCGCCCTCCCCCAGCAGCGCCGCCAGCCGCCCGCAGCCGCAGAACGCCGCCGCCAGCCGCACGACGGCGTCGCGGGTGTCGTCGTGGAAGGCGCAGGCGGCGTGCAGGCCCGACAGCGCCTCGAGCATGCGCAGCGCCTCAACCTCGGACGGCCCGAGGATGTCGGACGCGATCCAGTCGGCCGCGCCCGCGAGCGTGGCCATCAGCCTCACGAGGCCCCGCAGCCGGCAGCCGCGGCCGCCGCCGTCGGCGCGCTCCGCCGCGGCGGCGGCGCGGCAGTCGGGGGCGGCGGCCGCCGCCTCGCGCTCAGAGAGCAGGAGCAGCGTGCCGCGCGCGCCGGCGGCGGCGGCGGCCGCCCAGAGGTCTGCGGCGCGCCAGGCGCCAGATGAGAGGCAGCGCTCTAACACCCACGCGGCCTGGGGGCCTGGGGGCAGGGCGCCACAGGCACGGGACGCGAGTTCGGGTTAGCGGCAGCGCAACTTGGGCCGGAAGGCGAGCACAGGCAGCGGTTTGAGGCGCCTGCTGGCGACGCCGGGGCAGGCAGGCGGCCGCCTGTGCGATGCGCGCGCGTGCATGCCTACCTTCCTCGTCCCGTGAGAGCAGCGCCAGCAGTGGCGCCGCCGCGTCCGCTTCGACGGCGGCGGGTGCCGTGCGAGCGATTGCCGACAGCGCTTTCAGCGTCGCAGACACGACCGCGCCGCTGCCGCTGCCTAGGAGCGGCGCCAGCAGGCCGTGCAGCGCAGACGCGCACGCTCCCGTCACAGCGGCGGGCACGGCGGCGCCGCGGCGCCGCGCGGCGGCTTGCGCGACAAGGCCGGACAGAATGCTGAGGGCCTTTGCAGCCTGGGCAGCTGCGCCCACATCCGTTGAGCCCCGCTTCACGGCGACAACCTCCCAGCGCTGCTGCCATGCCAGGCAGCTGGCGGCTATGTCGTCCGTCGCGCCCTGCTTCTTGGGCGGCGCCATGCGCATGGCGCAGACGAGCGCGTGCTGCAAGCAGCAGCTTGAGCTGTGGCGTGTGGCCGCCCCTGCAGCAGCGGGTGCGCAGCCTCTACGTCAAAGGTGCGACATTCATTTGAATGTGTTGGTTGGGTTGCATGCAGAAAGGTGCAAATAAATTGAAGCCGCAACCCAGCACGCAGGCATGGACGCGCGTAAAGATCGGTTCTCGCACGGCCAAAACAATGTGATCGGGCTAAGATATGTGCTTCGCAATTGTGCAACTGCATTCAGATCGATGCAGTGATGTTGGTCCTGTGACACCCGGCAGCTGGGCGCTGTCATCACCAGCCACCTGGCAGCCACCACACTGCTGCAGTCAGGACAGGCCATACCACTGTACCAGCGTGCAGGTAATGAAAGGCAGCTATCATTCTGAATCTGTAGGCATTCAAAGATATGTGAGCCCAGCTAGAGCGAGAGTGGGGGATATTCTTACCAATCAGATCCCAAAGCAAACATTCCCACGCAATGGAAGCGTGACAAACTGTCATCAATCATCCATTGCTTGCAACCACATTGGGAGACCAATGCAAACTTGCATGCCTCAATCGAATGGGTTCAAGAGATGTATAGTGGATTGTTTTGCTGGCTGCAAACACATGCATGCATCACCTGCAAGCCATACAAGCTATCTCATCCATTCTGCACAACAGGAGGCGTGGGCCAGAAACATTGGGGCCAACTAGTTTTGGCAGTGTGCACAACTCCGGCCAGGCCAGGGCGAGCGAGGCGGTGACACGCAATCACAATGGCAGCGGGCAGCTGCATGGCCCCTGATTCTCGGCCAGAAATCAGGTCTTGATGACGTCCCTGAGCGCCTGGCGCCTGTGGGCCTCGTCGTGAAACTGCCGGCAGCCAGAGGGGCAGGGAGGCAGGCATGGGAGCGGCACGCGTGAGGGGTGCAGGTGGTGACGCTGCTCAAGCGTAACAATTTCTCCTACTTTCTTGATGTCCCAAAAGCAAAGTGTCTCCCCATCCAATACGGACTGGTGACACGTTCCTTGAGGGGTGATCGCGTGGCAGCTGCAGGATGCCACGGCCAAGCCATACGAGTGTCAGATGTGCGGCCGCACCGGGCTGCTGGCCACTCGCGCGCGCGCGTGCCCTCACCCTGGCCGGGGGCCCATGGCCCGGCAGCACGTAAAGGAAGTCCACGTCAGCCAGAGCCGCCACGGACTCGAGCTGTGCGCACAGGCACCGGCCGTGGGCGGCCGTGCACCACAAAGGACTTGTCAGGTGTGCGCCGCCGGCTCTGCATGGACGCTGGCCCCCTCCCCTCTGCTCAGTCCCAACC